GCCCCCCACACGCGGGTCACCGAACCACCCACTCCAGTCCCTGTGCGTGCGGCCCCCACGCGCGGATGCGCCCCCCCCGCGCACACCCAACCACCCACTCCAGTCCCTGCGCGCGCGCCCCCCACACCGCACCGAACCACCCAAGCCGAGTCCCTGCGCGCGCCCCCCCAGCGCGCGGATGCGCGCCCCCCCCGACGCTGTGCGCGTGCGCGTGCGCGCGTGCGTGGGTGCGCGCGCCGCGCGCGCCCCGTGCGCACCCAACCCGCCCAGTTCCTGTGCGCACGCCCGCACGCAGCCAAGCACCCACCCTGCCCCTGTGCGCGCGCCCACTCCAGTCCCTGTGCGCGCGTCCCCGCGCCCCCGTGCGTGGGTGCGCGGTCTCCCCGCGCACACGGAACCACCCACCCCAGTCCGCGCCCTCCCCCCCGCACACGGTATACCACCCACCCCAGTCCCTGAGCGCGCGCCCCCTGCGCGGGGATGACGCTGCGCGCGCGGCCCCAGCGTAGTAGTAGTAGTAGTAGTAGTAGTAGTAGTAGTAGTAGTAGTAGTAGTAGTAGTAGTAGTAGTAGTAGTAGTAGTAGTAGTAGTAGTAGTAGTAGTAGTAGTAGTAGTAGTAGTAGTAGTAGTAGTAGTAGTAGTAGTAGTAGTAGTAGTAGTAGTAGTAGTAGTAGTAGTAGTAGTAGTAGTAGTAGTAGTAGTAGTAGTAGTAGTAGTAGTAGTAGTAGTAGTAGTAGTAGTAGTAGTAGTAGTAGTAGTAGTAGTAGTAGTAGTAGTAGTAGTAGTAGTAGTAGTAGTAGTAGTAGTAGTAGTAGTAGTAGTAGGTAGTAGTAGTAGTAGTAGTAGTAGTAGTAGTAGTGTTAGTAGTAGTAGTAGTAGTAGTAGTAGTAGTAGTAGTAGTAGTAGTAGTAGTAGTAGTAGTAGTAGTAGTAGTAGTAGTGGTAGTAGTAGTGGTAGTAGGAGTAGGAGTGCGGGGTGTTCCCGCCCGTGACATTTTAGGCGTATTTCATGTAGATTTCTGCAGATTTAAGCAGTTGAAACGACAGACCAGCACCACCACCACCAGCGCATCCTTTTGTCCAGTGCGTCCATGCCCAAACCTTAATGATGTCCTCTCCGCGCGCATCCGTGTGTCAAGGAGCAACCCCGACTTGGGCGACGTCATCGCGGGTGGCTTACGTGCCACCTGGAGCCCATCCGCAGTCGGCCCGAATCATTTCACCAGAGCAGGGCCTGGCCGCTTGGTTTCAAGACCCAAACACCGTCCAACCGCCCCCCCAATCCTCCGATCCCGAAACCCTGACAGATTCCGGGTGGACGAGGATGTCTCTAGTCACCTTAGTCCTCCTGGGGCCTCATGATTTGAGAACAGGGTGAGCCTAAGCAGGTTTTGGGCGGTGTCGACCTCAGGCGCTGCATAGGTTCGGCCACGCGAAGATTCCGGACTCTGTTTCCAAGGCAGGGCTTCGTGCTCTCATCGGCAACACCCAGCACGTGGTCGGCGCGGCCATGGGTTGGCTCCTGGCCTTCTCGCTCGTGAACAGAAAGGGCTGCGGTCCGAAACCGGCGACGAGTTGCTGCCTTCGATTGAGGTCACTCAATGTCAATGTCACGCAATAATTGATTCTGACATTCGCAGAACACAAATCACTTCAAAGGCCTTGAATTGACGTCATCAGTGCAGTTGTTTTTGATGGTGCCCTGTCAGGTGCCCCCGCAAAGGCCGGTCCCTCGAGATTGTGAGTGTGGGCTGGTCCGACAAGGTGAAGAAGCGCGCAACGACTGCAAAGGCCAAGAGAACACGACCCACCGGGTCCGAGGGCACAAAGGCCAACAAGAGGACGCCTGTCACGGCCATGAAGGCCCGACGGTGCCCCGAGACGACCGAGAGTTCTAATGCCCACGTTGCGAGTCTGAGTGGCGCACGTTCCTTGCTGAAGCGCAAGCTTTAAATATCTGAAAGTCATGCAATGCTGACTTGCAAATTGAGCATTTTAGTGCAGAATAATGGAGCCGCAGCTATGGGTACGCCCCTGGCATATAGTGTAATAGGCACTGTACCTTCACTTCATGGCCTACCAATTCAGAGGCTCCCATATCCGAAGCTGGGGAAGCGGATGAAAATGGCGTGTGTGCCAGCCTTCCTCCCAGTGCACAAAGCGGGTTCACACCATGCTAAATCTTGAATTCCTTGCTCTGTGCCAAGATGTGGTGGTCTGCAGACACACCCGGGCCGGCGTCCTTAATGTCCTCTTCACTGTCTTGCCGTTGCTTTGTTCGCCCCGTTGAAGCCTTGCTCGCGCAGGAAGGCATCCAGACCTGGCCTTGACTGTCGCGCAGGCCGTCGGCGGTCGGTGACTCAGAGATAGATTAACACCGCACATTACCCTCAATGCTTTCCTTCATCCCGACAGAGCTTTCGACAGAGGGCTTGGGGCAGCAAAACCGTCTACCGGTAGACGGCCGATTTCCTCAGCGTTTGGCCGGACGGCTTGGGGCAGGAAAACCGTCTACCGGTAGACGGCCGATTTCCTCAGCATTTTTCCGGATGTGGTGGGGTAATTCTTCTGCCCTTAAAGGAAATATTACTTTCGGAATTCCTGGGAGGTAATTTTTCGTGTGTGGGCAGAAGAATTACCCCACCACATCCGGCAAAATGCTGAGGAAATCGGCCGTCTACCGGTAGACGGTTTTCCTGCCCCCAAGCCGTCCGGCGAAACGCTGAGGAAATCGGCCGTCTACCGGTAGACGGTTTTGCTGCCCAAGCCGAGTCATGGGGATGTCGTTTGCCCAAGCTAGCTGTTTTGACTCATGCCCCCAACCACCCCCACTAGAACCTGAGAGTCAAAGCCGATGATCTTGGAATTCTTCTGATTCTGAACAAGGCCATCGCAAGAAGAAAGCCTTATCCGATCGGCCGGCGCCCTGGGGCTATTTTGCAGTTCTCACTGAGCCAGGTTGTTGGGCTGCTGTGTTCAACGTTATGTGGTGTCAATGCAGCAGGACTGGCTCGCGGGGGGGGGGTGGGGGGGGTGGTCGATTTGTCTTGTCTGTGCCGTAATGGGGGAACGTGCTCCGAGCACGTACGCTCTCTTCTGCGCGGAGATCGCGCGGAAACGAGTCGGCAAGGGCACGCGTGTGCGCGGCAAGAAGTCGCAAATGGGCCGGTCCGAGATGCAAGCTACGTGGAATCTCTGCTGGAATAACTAAGATTACAGACACACACGCGTCTGATTTTCTGCCGAGCATCCCTGAACCCGCAGCAATAATAACAACGTTAAGGAATGCCATGGGCAGTGACGAGAAGAAGCGCTTCCGGGACCAGCAGCGTGCCATTTTAGAGGAGATCCAGAAGAAACGCCACCTGATGGAGTCTCCAAGGGCCGAAGAAGAAAGCAGACACGCAGGCCAAGGGTCCGAGACACCTGGCTTCGTTCGAGTGCCTGACTTCATATTTCCTTGGCACAACGGTTGCACTTTGGTGACCCACGAGCTGCTTGGCGCGAGCGGTTATGCTCGGGTGTTCGAAGCCGCGGCTTGGTGCAGTTAACGGCAGCCGTTCTTTGTTCAAGTCGTGCTTGGATCCTCTGGCCCGAATAACCAAGGTCAACACCGAAGGGCTGGACGAGATCTTCGCGGTTAAGGTTGCCAAAGCCCGCAAGGAGCAGAAGGTCGATTTTGAGGTCCTGGCGGACGTGGCTGTTGAGTTCGAGAAGCTTAAGTACATGGGGCCGAGTCCGAATCCTTACTACATTCAATTACTCCGCGCCACTTTGTTCGGCAGCACTCAGTCATCGTCATGCAATGAGTTTGCTTCCCCAACCCTGCCCAGGAACATCATCGAGGCCTTTGCTCTGCTCAGCGACGGCAGCACGTACGGGCTTGTGCTGCCTCGTGCCAGCTGCAGCCTCTCGAGTCATCTGAACCAGGCCCGAGCCACGATGAGCCAGCAGGCCCGATTCAGCCTCGCGTGGCAGGCATTTTCTGCCTTGGGCCACGTTCACAGGCACGGCATGCTGCATCTCGACGCCAAGCCCGGGAATATGTTGCTCTTCCCTGGAGATGCGTGCGCAGCAGCGCCGGCAGAATCCTGGCAGCTCAAGTTGTGGCTTGCTGGCATTGGGGTCTGCCCTGACACAAGAAACACGTTCCTGAGCACATGCTGTTAGGTCCGATTTCGGCTTGGCAGAGCGGATTCCCGAGGGGCGCGACAGCCTCAAGGTGATCGGAAACCAGGTCTACTCTGGTGGGTACAGGGCGCCCGAGTTCTGGGCAGCCGGACGGGCGTCGGCGTCTCAAGATCAATATGCTGCCTCTCTGAGGTACTGGCATTTCGTTCAAGCGAAACTTGGGCTCTGGGTTGCATCGTCTTCGACCTCTTCACTTCGGGCGAAGGGCTGCTTGTGAACAACCCTTGCGCCTTGTTCGAGCCTGACGATACATCGAAGAAAGCCCTGTCCAAGGAGAAGGCCCGAGATGCGCGAGATCGCTTGAACAGCCGCATTCGCCTGAGAGTAGCCTGCACTGAAGCTGCAGCGCTTATACGCGATTGCTGCAGCTTTCACAGCCGGAAGAAGCCGGAAGAGTTTCTTCCGCGCCTCGCTGCCGCCTTCAAAGTGGCCAGGGCGTGCTAAGGCCACCAAAGCACGCCGAAGGCCCGAATGTGAGTGTAAGAAAAGCAGAATGCAGCGCGCGCGTAGTTAGGATGCTGTAGCAGTGGACAGTGGAGTGTCTAGCACATCTCTCGACTCGGGACATGAGCAGGCATGAGTGGCTCACGCAGATTTTTGCTCAATCTGGGACTGTTGCACGCATCAGCCACTGTACCGGACCAGGAATGTACTTCAACTGTTAAGATACACCAACAAATGTTGTATCGGTGCTGTCACCAAGCAAGTAATAACAGTCTCCTTGCTCTTGACTATACCAATTCAATGCAATGATTTTGACTCGTCATTAAATACGACCTTCCGCCATCCCGCGACTGGGCCCGACTGGCCATGTCATCAGAAGCGGCCAAAAGAGCCAAGATCGCTCCCGTTCTGCCGCCGGCCGAGACATGGACCACGACGCCCTCTGAGCCCTTTGTAACAGACGTCGAGGCGTATGCTTCTGCCTCAGGATTTCGTTGCCGAACCCAGTCTGCTGCAGTCTGCTTGTGATTTAACGCTTGGCCCGCGCCTCTCAGCAGGTGCGTGCTACGTTGCCGGGTATTTTGGGCAGCCTCAAGATCCTCAAGACCAGTGCCATCTCCTGCCTTGCCAACATCCCGCCTGCGAAGATCACTCCGGATGCAAGCAGCGCTAGCGCTGGGTCCGACAAGGACAAGGACAAGGAGAAGAAGGTACCGAGCCCGGCCGGCGTCACGGGATACAAAGAAGTTTGGAGCACTGCCAGCACTAACATGCTCTTGCAGCAGCCTGTGTTCTGTCTTAGTCTGCAACGGCAAGTGACCCATGGCAAGTGACTCAGACTCAGGACCCCGAGCAACTGCCACTCTTCCTTGGCCCGAACGGGCCTGTATGAGGCAGGCGGGCTTGCTCTGGCTCACGCTCCAGAAGACCCTGGACCAGGTTCCGGCAGACAAGCCCACCTTGCAGGAGATCATGACTGCGTCCGAGCAGCTCATGTCTGCGGGCCCTGATGTTGCCGGGGCAAAGTCCGAGCGCATCATCTTTCCCTGCACCGTTCTTGCGTGGGCACAGAATGTCCCGCAAGACGCTTTCCCGACCGAGATGCTGATTGTGGGGAACAAAGGCCTCGTGGCCGCTTGGTGGGTGCCTTGGCCGGAAACTTGGCTTAAAAACCACGCCGCAGATAATGATCACAATAAATGTCGTTGTCCGAGGTGCAGATGTATCAGGCCATGGGCAGGACCGACAAGGAGATGATCACGAAGTTGTTGGAGTGCGCGCTGACCACGACAATTACGCTGTTCTCTGACCCGATGTTTGCCGCGGCCCGAAGCTTCAAGGTGTCCGAGGACCTTCGCGCAGTGTCGAAGCTGACCGACTCCTTCGTCGTCTTCGTCAAGAAGCTTTACAAGGTTCTGCCGGGGCTCAGGGACTTGAGCTTGACGAAGCAAGTGGACTCTCAGCTACACTGGGTTTAGTCGTTTCGCAGAGTTGACTAAATTGGCCCGATGGTTCGGTGCTTTCAGTGGGGTTTTGCCTCCTACTCCCGACTTGTGAGGAGGAGGTCAACAAGCTGCAGCAGAAGCATAGCAAGTTCACCTACGGCGGCTGCAAGCTCGACAGCAAGTTGCTCTCGGCCGCAGTAGCCGTGGACAAGCACTTGGGCCGAGACGCCCAGAACTTGCTGGACCGAGTCACCGCCTCCTTCGGCCCGATATTCTCCCACCACCCGGCCCGATTGAAGGCCATGTGCCGCTATGGGGAGGAGATTTGCGCCTTCGCCTTCGGCTCGTCCTACAGCCTGCTGAGACGCAAAATCCACACGACGGCCTCCTACACCGACGAGCTGGCGGAGGAGTGGGCCGGTGTCCAGAAGATGGTCTTCGAGGTCGTGAAGGCCGTGGCTGCCGTTGTGGACATGGTCCCGACGAACGTGCAGGCCCAGTTCTGCGACTTCCGGAAGGCCCTGGACTACTTCAAAAGGCCCGAGGACTAGCGCCGCCGTGGAGGGCATCATACGTGGCCTTGCAAAGGATCAGAAGCCCATGCTGGAGTTCCTTGTGGGCCTCGCAGAGCAGGACTGGGACGAGGATCTTGCTGGCCTGGCCCAGCACACCAAGGGCTCGTCCTCCGTGAACTGCGTCGACCTGATGAACATGGAGAAGCTCCGGGACCGAGAGGCTGCCTAGTCCTTCAAGCACGCGCTGCAGTGCCTCGATGCGGCCGCCCAGGGCTCGAACACGGTCCGATTGTCCAACATGATGAAAGGACAGCAGTTGTCGTGATCAGTTTGTTCTTAATGACATTTATCATTGAGCGTCGTGTTTCTGACAGCTGCAAGGAGACGTGCTCAACGACATCGAGATCGAGGTGGAGCGCATGAAGAAGGACCGAGATCAGGTCACGAGCAAGATCCGTGCCAGCAAGACGGAGAGGTGGGTGCGATTGCTTGAGGCGCACAAGGGAGTCCCAGCACTGTCCACGTCCGCCCCGAAGCTTCCGGATGCCAAGCTGGGGCAGAGGCACCGGTTGTTCATGATCTCAACCGAGTGTGTGGAGGCGGAGTCGGGCCCGAACCCCTGGGCAAAGGGTGCGCCGGATTCCAGCGCATTGGCCGTGCTGCAGCGTCTGGAGTGGGCCAAGTCGCAGGCGACGGAGGCGACCGACTTAATCCTTGTCAGTGACGGCCGAAACCAGTCCTTGCGCGGCAAATTCTTGCAAGCCCTGGGTACGAGTGGCACGACGACGGAGTTCATTTCTGTCTTCCTGGACTCGGCCCGATTCGGCTCGACTGGCGGGCCGGGCTGGATGACTTTCTCCTGTGGTCCAAGGTTCCTCTTGAGCAGTTGGGACCGAAGAAGCGCCAGGCCAGGATGCAATGTGTACTGGTCGCTAGAGTTTAAACAGTTTGCTGGCGTTTTGCAGAGCTGCCAAAGCAGGACGCCTACGCTGTGGGCAAGAGTCCGCTCATGTTAAGACATCACGCATCCCCACGACACATTTTTCGGTCAGGCGCGCCGCTGTATGGACACGGTTCAGCTGCTTGTCGGGCCCGGAAACATGCACATGCTGATGTCTTCATGCTGTAGAATTCATGTGCACATGCAACCTGGTTCTCACCCATGCAAGTTGAATGGCATGCTACTAAATTCATACAAGCACTACACTACAGTCATGTGACCAGGTCTGCCTCGGGGCCCTCAGTGAAAAAGGGGGGGCCAGGGGGAGAACAACATCAAGGTAACCCAAACAAGGTCACTCAAACCGGGGGGCCCCAGCAAACCAAGGTTCGGATCAGCGGATTCGACCTTCATCACGTCTTGAATTCAACAAGCTTGACTTCAACACGCATTGAATTCACTGGAATTCTATCATGAATTATCCCAAATTCTGCCTCCGGCACAACCGTCGAGCTGCACGGTAATGAGCTACCACTGTTGCGGGGGGGCCGTTCCCAACGCTGCCAAGACCGCCTGTTGCTCCACCAGCAAGCGTCGCCCGTTGCTGAGCGTGATGGCTGCCACTGGTGGTTGTCTCACCCCTGGCTGTGCTACTCTTTCTTCCAAACTGACGATCAACGGTCCACCATCCGGCGCGGTCATGGTAGGCGATCCCACATGTGGTGCCCCCGGAGGGGGCGGCTGCCGGCGGCAACGCGCGCCCTCTTCTCCCACGTCCATCTTCTGTTGATCTCCTCCAAGGTCCTGGCACACATCGCCATGTTCTCCGCCAGCTCAGCCAAGCCCGCAGAGAGTGCTCGCATACCATCGGCGGGGCTGTCCATCAGGTCACTGACGGTCACCGCTTCTATCACTGCGCTCCCCTCCAGGAGCAATCTTGCCACTCAACTTGCTGAGTGTCTCCGGAGCACATCGTACTTGGCCAGAGGTCCAAGAAAGTCAACCGTGGGCGCCGGCCGCCCTGGCCCTCTTTGAAGGAGAAGATGCTGGAGTACTGGTCAGTTTCAATCGTCTGCTAGCTGTTCATTCCTAACGCTAAGCCCTACAGCTTGTACTCTCCACACTTCAACACAGCGTCGGCTTAGGGCCCCCTTTGTGACGCATCTTCCGTCCCCCCACCTCTCTCGCCACTCTCGCTGTCATGTCCTGCCGAGGGCGCTTTGGCCCGAGCGGCCTCAGGCCTTCAGCCGAGACTCGCGTGGCCATCGAATTCCAGGCGCGTGCACATTTGGGAGTCGACTCAGGCGATTCTCACGTTGACCTGTGCCATTAGAGTGGCGACCTGCTGGTTCAGGCGCCATGGCGTCATTTGAACCTCAGGCTGGCGCGGCGGTGCTGTGGCGGTGCGCGCAAGCCAGTGCCGCCTGGCTGCTTCGTGAGCGACAACCGCTTCGTCGTCGGTGTCGTCCACTACCTCCGGGTCGCCGACTCGGTTGACCTTCAAGGTCTCGCTGACAATGCCAGAGCTGAGCACTGTCCAGTTATCCGCAGGGGGGAACTTGGCGTTGCTCTTCTTGCGGAGCACTACATTTTCGCCGCCAACTTCAGGTCCAAACCACCATCCTCGATCTGCGGCCTCTCCATCGATGATGTCATCCCAAAAGTAAAGAAACATGGAGTTCGACGAACTCTGGCCATTCTCCTTGTCTTTGTCTGTTTCCAGACGCTTGAAAACATCGCGTCGATGGTGCGTCCATTGGCGAGAGTAGTCGCCTTCCACCAGGTCCTGCAAGCTTTGGTCCTGCGCGCCAACCACGGACAGCACGACCCGCGCCTGCACTGTAGCTTCTTCTGAATCGCTGATTTCAACTCTGCCAGTGGCGTGCGTGGAGGTGTTGCCGGCCGGGACAATCGCGGCGTGGTCAGGAATGGCCTGCACTGTAGCTTCTTCTGACTCGGCATCGTCGTCGTGCGGGCCCCGACGGTTTTCAACGAGGATTTCAGGGCATCGTCTGGCGCGGGCGCCGAGCTGTCTTGGACTTGGGGCACGCAGACGGCCTCATCCTCGCCGTCGTCATCACTCTTTTCCTTCGCCTCAGCATCCTCCTCTTGCTGCTTCTGCTTCTTCTTTCGATGCTTCTCCTTTCGGCAGGAAGAACTTCGCCTCTTCCGCTTCTTCTTGCGATCCTTCTGCTTTGAAGCCTTTTCCTTTGCTGGCAGCTGCTTGGCCACATGGATGCTGTCTTCGCTGCCGTCCTCTTCCGCCTCCTCCATCAATACTGAAGGCTCCGGCTCCGGCACAGGAGGCTCAGGCATTTTCGGGTCCTTTGGCTCCTTGCCACAGAAGGTGACAGCGATCTTGACATGTTCTGCCAGCGCTGGCAAAGCGGCGTGAGCATGATGCTCCAGCCATCTGCAGCTGTCGAAGGCACGGCGGAAAGCGCGCAGGCTGCCCGAAGCCGTTTGACTTGCGAAGCTTGTGGTGTGGGGGGTGGCTGTACACCAGGGGGTTCCTCGGAGGTTGGCTTCGCTGGGTCTTGTGGCTCTCAGATCCTCGAGGCTTTATCGTTGAAGCAATGTTGTGGTTCCTTCTCTCCGCTCTTTGCCACGGATTTCAGGCTTGAGCCCAGCTTGAGCCAAAATGGCTACGGCCTATGGTTTAGGGTTTAGGGTTTAGGGCTTAGGGTTTACTCGGCTTAGGGTTTAGGGTTTAGGGTTTACTAGGCTTACGGTCTAGGGTTTTAAGGGTTGCGACTCTCGCGCGAAGCAGGGCAGGCAGGGATTCGGGCGGTCCAATCGGTAATTACTGACTCTAACTTGTCCCTAAACCCTAAACCCTGACTTACACCTCTGAACCCGTAAGCCCCGCCCAAAACCTGGCATCAAGCCTCTTGGCGACTGCCGACGCTTTGAAATACTCTCACTCACCCCCCCTCCCCCCCCGCCCAAGCCCTTTTTTGCCCTTAAGCCCTGAAACCGTTGGACTCTGAAGCCCAAAAAACCCAAACCTCAAAGCCCACGGTTACGGTTGGGGTTTACGGGCCCAGAACTCCCAAACCCAGCACCCTTCACGTCCAAACAAAGGCTTACGTGCCGGTAGAACCTAAGTTGAAGCATGTTCCTCCAAACCCCAAACTCAAAACCCAAAACCCCGAAACCCCTAAATCCCCTACACCCTAAAACCCCTACACCCCCGGAACCCCTAAACCGCCCAAGCCCCCTCTACTGAACCCCTTAAACCCCCTAAACCCCTAAGCCCCTAAACTCCAAACCCCTAAACCCCTAAATCCCAAACCCTAAACTCTAGAGTTTTACCTTGGACCCTTAAGATTGTACCCTTGGGTTTTGGGGGCCTTTTTGAAGATCGCTAAGGTAGCATATAAAGGCCATATTAGGAGCATATTCAGCGGAACCTTCAGGGGTACAACCTTAGGGGTGACAAGTCTTCATCCCTTGAAATTAAACCCCCTAAACCCCTAACCCCTAAACCCTAAACCCTAAACCCTAAACCCCTAAACCCCAACTAGGCCTTGAGTGCCACCTTTGTCTCGTCCAGGGTACACACGACCTGCGCTTGAAAGCTGCCAGAACCCCAAGGGCTCCAAAGTTTAGGGTTCAGCCACCCCACCTGCTTCGTTTTGAAGCCAGACTCAGAGCATCAGCTGGAACCACCAAGCCGCACATTTGTGGGCTGCCTAAACCCGAAACGTAAACCCGAAACCCTAAACCCTAAACCCTACTCCCTTAACCCTGAACCCTGAACCCTGAACCCTGAACCCTGAACCCTTTTTGCAGCCGGACTGAGGGCGTCGCCGGAATACTGCTTATCCCACTTCGCTCCATCTCATGATATTCACAAGACAGCGCAAGCCAAAAACATGCAAACGAACAACATCCTTTTGGTAGTCACAGTTCGTCATCAGACATGGACGATAGCCTGCGCCTCAGCCCGTCTATGGGTAAGAGGACTTGACAGCGGCGGAGGGCAACCTCTCGTCGATGTGAACTAGCATCAGAAAGTGACTGAGGAGTTCCCTGCGTGCGCCCCGTCTGCCGACAATGGCCGAGGGCACCATCTCGTTGATGCGAATCTGAA